TAAAAATAATTATTTAAATTAATGTCACCTGTTTTTTCTTTTATACTGTAGCTACTAGAAAATTAAACATATATATGGAACTCACATTATATTTCTGTTGGACAGCAATGAGGCAAGCTGTTTTTCAGAATATGGGATCCCAGGGATCTTAATTTCTTCCCCCTCATATATGTGTCTACAAGGAGCCTTTATTTCCACACCCAACGATTCTTCTGGCCTCAGCACCACAAACACATCCAACAATCTTTCAGGGCTTATAGCACATTCTTGTAGGTATCACCAGCTCCAGAAGAAAACCAGGTACCTAGTAAGTACACAATAAATATCTGTGGAATAAATGAATGACAAGTGAAGTGCCCTTAAGCAGAACAACACCTTGTTTTGAATAGGTAGGTCTCTTTTTAGAAGCAACCAAGTCACTTATATGTAGAATCAAAAAAAAGAAGTCAGACTCACAGAAACAGAGAGTAGAATGGTGGTTACCAGGGAAAATTTGGTAAATTGTATGAGACAAACCAAATCAGACACATCATTCATTACATTCAAAACCAAGCCTAATTATAGTCATGCAACAAGTGTTCTTAAGCCTCTCCCAACTCAGTACTATTTAAACTTAGAGTCAGAGGTTTCATTTACAAGCTGTAAACTGCACTGTTCTCTTTCCTCCCAGCCACAGTTCACCCATTAGCACTTCTCTTAGCACTTTATGGCTCTCTAAGAGCTTCCTCACCTATTAGGTTGACTGATTTTCACAATTCCGTGAAGAAAGTCAAGTAGTAGTATTTATTATCATTTTTTTGCAAATGATAAGTCAACTGATTATCCAATTCCCAAAGGTAATTAACAAGGCCAGGACTACATCCCCTCCACCACCTGCTACTTGCTTTATCCATTGTATCACATGGCTATTCCAAAGGCTCATTAGTTATTTTACAGTTTCCAGGTATTTTGTGTATGTGTGTTCTTTAAGAGCACTTGACTAGTTGTGTGAATTTATTAAAACCTTCCATCTTTCTGGCCTCAATCTTCTTATCTGTAAATTGGAAGGATAGAACTAAATGCTGTCTAAGGTCCTTTCCAGTGCTGAAATCATATGGCTCTCTGAAACCTGGCTGAACGTGCACGAAAGGTGTAAGCCTTTCATTCTTTTTGCATCTCTCCTGTAGGATTTGTACATGGAGAGTGTTTAAACAAGGTTGACTGGCTTTGCTTGCAAAAAGGGGGAACTGGAATGTCACTTGCCCTCACTGAGCCCCGTTCTAGACAAACACACACACACTGGCTGCTCCAGGAAAGAAAAGGTATATGGAGAGAGGAAAAAGGCGGCAGTATTTAAGTTGTCTGGGCCAAAGTGGCCCAGAGAATCTCTATCTCAGATTTCATCTTCATGAAATATTCAATGAGTGCTTCCTGGAGCGTGAGCTGAGCAACAGAGGCTGTATTTCCTGGTATTTCTCTCTGTGTACTGATGCCTGGGCCCAGATCTCTCTATACCTCTCCCATCATTACCATGTCCTCTCCCAGTGTTTCTATCACTGAGTCTTTACTTTTTGCTTTTCTCTCTCCATCTGCAGCCCCAGAGATCTTTCTCAGTGTCTGCCCTTCCCCCACCCCTGCATGCCTGTCTCTCTCCCTGCTACTGTCGCCCCTGCCTGGTGAGGATGGTTCCCTTTGGGGGCATCCTAGGGACATGGGCCTGTGCAGCTCTCTTCTGCTTTGCCCTCCAGAGCACCACATGCCTAAAGCAGGGAGACTCTCCAGGACTGTGGGAGCGAGATGTCCGGGGCAGAAGAGCTGGACCAGCCAGGGTGCCCAGTGGGTGGGAGCTGGGGCTGAATCCGAGCCAAAGGAGTTGGGGGTAAAGTTGAGGGGTGGGGAAAGAAGTGCAGCTCTGTGGGGAGATACTGGCTTTATGACACCTGGGCTGGGCTGGGGACAGAAACTCCAAGTGGGGTCCACATAGGGTGCCTTGGGGAATCACCTGGGGACCCAGTGCCCCACAGTTGAGTCTTAGCTCTAATTACTGTGTGCCCATCACCCTACAGGTATGCTCTGTGCTGGCTCACCACCTGCTCCCTGTCCCCCTGGAACTTTCATCTCCAGAGCAGGTCCCCACAACGCTCCCTTCTGCCGCCTCTGCCCTGAGGGGTTCTTCAACCACTGGCCTGGCCAGGACGCCTGTTTTCCCTGTGGCTCTGAGGCCACCCAGCCAGAAGAGAGCAAAGACAATTGTGTCTGCCTGGGGCCTGGCCGAGTGTTCCGGGTATGTCCTCTGGCAGTAGGACCCAAGCTGGCACCCATGCTGCATTTCCAGGACGGTTTTGGTCTCTCAGCAAGTTCCGCTTAGGTGTAACCTGACCCGGGATAGCTCAGGTTTCCAAAAGACTTGGGAGTAAAGTTGCCACATAAAATACAGGGTGCCCAGTTAAACTTGAATTTCAGATTAAGTTATGGATAATTCTTTAGCATAAGTATGTCTCAAATATTGAATGGAACTATGGGATAAATTGCAGAATTTCCAGACTCTCCCACCGAGCCTCACCATTTACATATCAATAGGTGTTTACCACTGCAGCCTCAAGGGCAAGGGGTGGAGAAAGGATGGCTGTTGTCTTCTCCCCTCTGTTCCTGGAACATAACTGGGCTGGTGTCTGCCAGTCACCAAGGACCCGCCAATGGGGTTCCTCCCAGAAGGGGTGGGAGGGAAGCCGAGAGCGCACCAAGGAGGCAGAGCAGGCGGTGCCTGGAGGAGTCGGAAGGGGCCAGGCCTCGCAAACTGAGTGATGGAAATGATTTCCCTTGGCTTATTTCAGTTTCACAGGAGATTAGCCCTGGGCCAGGCACACCCTCCCTCCCTCCCCGCCCCCCCCCCGGAGCTACAGGAACACATTTATACTAAAAAAGTATTCATTTATCTGAAATTCAAATTTGACTGCATTTTTATTTGCTAAAACTGATAACCCTACACAGAAGAAAGGGCAGAATGCTGTTCACCCCCATGACCACTCCCAAAATGCACCCAACTCAAACTTTCTCTGTAAACCAAAAGGCTCGTGAATTCCGTGTTGAGCAAGAACACAAGAGCTGCAGGAACGGGCCCACCTGGGCCCAGGAGGGGCTGTGTCTGACCAGGGGCCACTGGGATGCCCACTGTGCCCACGAGGGAAGAGGCCGCCTACATGCTGCATGCACCCCTTACAGTCCCGGCCCTCCACCCACCCGTTCACTTGCCAGACCTCTCAGCTCCTCCCTGGAAACATAGAGACCTGCCCTCCACCCTCTGAAGGTAAGGGTGTTAGGGTCCAGGACTCCGGGGCTTCCCAGAGAACAAGCCACATGGACACGGAGATGAAAATCCAAGCAAAGTCTTTATTCAGCTAGCAAGCTGGGGTTGACAGCACCTCCCCTGACACGCAGGCCGAGTTCGAGCTGCCAACCCCCAAGCAACTTTAGGTATGGTTTATATGGGATTTCTACAGTCATTGCACCAGAGACCGCACATTACCCCAACCAATGAATTTGAAACACATTCTATGCTTTGGCCAATAAAATTGGAACAGGGATACACCACGTGCCTGACCTTTGCACAAGCATTCCTATGTGACTTATCACGAGTTTCGACCCCAGGGGGGTCGTTTACTTCTAGTTATTTAACTTAGGGCAGGGTCCAGGAATGTTAGCCTCCCCAGGGGGGTCGTTTACTTCTAGTTATCTAACTTGGGGCAGGGTCCAGGAATGTTAGCCTCCCGTAGTTTCTACGAAAACTGGGTGGCTTTGCCCTGTTCCCTGCATTCCTTTACAAGGGGAATGCCCGGGCAGTATCCCTGAGAAGTCTGAGTCTTTGCACAGGTGTGTGCCACACCATGGTAATAACCCTGGCCTGGGGCTCTGTCTGTGTGGGGGATGACGCTCCAGTGGAAGGTGTGGCCCCTGTGTCCACAGGGGCAGAGACGCGGCCTACAGCTGAGCCGCCCTGAGGGCATCCCGCAGATCTCCATCACTGAAGGCCCTGGGAGTGAGGGACAGTGCCCTGAGATCCAAACCCCTGCCAAGCTGGGCCTGCCACCCGAGGAGTGCGTGGGGTATAGGCCTCAGCTCCTGGACCCACACCGTCATAGCCACTAACACCGGAGAGAAGGCCCAATTGTTGATTTAATTTCATCCCATAAAACTCGTTGAATAAGTGCTTGTAGTCATTAAAGAGGAAGGAACTGTCTTGGAAATCTTCCCACATGAGCAAGGGACAGTACCCAGAGTCATGGGTCCAGGTTGCCCCTGTCCCACAGAGTTCTTAAACCTACTCCCCCCACCACCTCCCTCTTAACCTTGTTGGAACACTCAGGGCTCAAAGAAGGCCCTGTGCTCCCCCACCTACCTGCCAGGCCAAGGTGTTGCTTACCATGTTTCAAGGGAAGACCTGACCCTGCACCTCCCCATTCTCAGGAATTTTACCTACTGGACAGGCTTTCATCACCACATGCTGTGGGCCATCCCTGCAATTTGGACCAAAGGCAGAAGGCTGTCCCTCTGTATGTAGTCAGGATGAATGGTAAGAGCGCTAGACACAGGAAGGCCTGCACCTCAGGACCACTCACAGGCAAGCCTTGTACATTCTATGGCATAAGTGTTGCCCCTGCAGGCAGAAGCTAGGAGGTGATGGGAAACACCTCCTTGAGGGTAGGCTCTCTGGAACTGCATGTGAATGACCATGAGTTGAATCCTGCCATGTGCAAATCAGGGATGGACAGCTTCTGTCCCATCCATGTACCAGGAAAAACTCTCTCCCCAGGCCCTGCAGGTTCAGTGAAATCCCCTGTCTTGCTCTAGGAATTGGCTTTCTGGGCCTGATCAGACCAGGTCATGAGCTACTGCACTCCCTCAGCCTGCCCCGCAGGGATCCTGGACTCCCCGGACAGGATGCAGGATACAGGTGAGTACCACAGCTGATACCTGTTACCTCTCTTCTCTCTCCTCCACCCTTCCCTGGTCCTGGAACCAACCTGTCTGAAGAGTGGCTGTTCTTCTCATGTTCTGAATCTTGCCCAGGAGAGTCAAGAGAAGGGTAACTGGCCTCTCCTTGGTCGCTGCACCTCAGCTCCACATGTCCTAGGGATCTTGTAGTGGCTTCCAAAATGCCACAGGCTGCCTCCAAACCAATGCTACACTTGCCTTCCTGGGAACCTGTGAGTGTCCAGAGGACACGCCCCACCACCTTCAAGGCTTGGAGAGGAAATGCTCTCTCACCCACTGTCACCTCCTAGAGACAACATACTCCCTCCTTTCTCTACTTGTATAACACACAGGGGGAATTTGACTGGGGGCTCTTCTGGGCCTGGCTGAGGTGTCTCAGCTCCAAGGCCAAAGCCCCTACCCCTTTCTGCTGCAGGTTCCAGCAGCCTGGGGTCTATGTCTTTCGTCTGAGCAGCAACTGACATTAGAAGATGGTTTGTCTATGGTAGTTTGCCTCAGGTAAAATACGAGCTCACATTTCCCCTTACTTTAAAAAATACTGCCTCACAACTGATGCCGGGGTTCTTGTTCACGAAGCCGAAGAATGAGCTTCACAAACAGTCAAGGTAGGAGAGCCAGGTACAGGCTTTTATTTAGAGATAAAGTGAAAAGACAGAGCTCCCGGCTCACGCCAGGAGGGGATAAGAGAGTTCGTAGTGGTACGTTGTCTAGGGGGTTTTATAGACAGCTGAGGATTTTTTGAGAACATGAAAAAACTTAGGGGTGGGGACTTGTTAGGTGGTCCCTGAATATTTAGAATTAACTTAACACAAGCAACTTCCTCTGATGATTTCTCTGGGAGCATATGAAACAAGGCCACCTGCTCAGCCCCCAAGGTGTGCTGAGGTATTGTTTGCTAAAGAGTCAGTTAAGAATTTCTAACTTCTCAACTTCCTGGGTATTAAAATGCACTCTTATCTTTAAGGTGGAATCCTTCTTGCCTTTTACTGTGTTGTTTATGCCTGGGCTTACTTGCTAAATTAGTTGCCCAGTTTGCAAAATCACTTCATCAGATCTGAAGGAGAAAGACAGCACATAGGCCTGGGCCTTTTAGTATGCTAAAGTGAATCTTACACATGATTATAAATGGTTAGCATAATAGAACATTGCTGCTCTTCTTTATCTGGGGAACATTAACTGATCTCACTGAAGAATGATTCTAGAGCTTAATGTTTAACATAGAGTTTTAGTAGGGGAGGTTTCCTTGCATATAGTTACACTGCTCTGACTGCAAATATCCCGCCCTGCCCCCTCCAGAGGCCCTCACCCTACTCTGACTACATCCACAGTCCCTTCCTCAATAACCATCTCAGATAGATCTCCAAGGAAGGAGATAACCTGGGCATCCCTACTGAAGTTTCAGGCTCCCTAACAGCTGTCTCTGTGGATGCCAAGCATTCGCTCTAAGCAGCGCAACATGTGATGTAACAAGGGGCAGACTGTGTGGATAAAAATACAATGTGCATCTAAGGATGTCAGAATGTCTAGCCATCCCTCACAGCCCTTTGCTTCTTTCCCCCAGCCCTCCTCCATACTGAAAACACAAACCCAAGGCCCATCCACACAGACTTTTACTCTTGTGCCTGCTTTTGGTGCCAACACTCATCCAGGTGCACAATCTTGGTCACACACAGAACTTACTATCTCAGCCTCAGCACACCTTCTAAGAGGTTATGCTGACCTAGCCCTGGAGCATGCAGACAGCAACTCACACAGATGTATCTGATGTGAATCAGCGTATGAGAGGGAACCCAGATTCTACTCCTCCAAGGTGCACACAAATATCCAGACTATTCCATTAGTGCTGACAGGCCTGGGTTCCTACACTGTCCTGGGCCATCTCTGGCAGACAGTGGGACAAAGGCGGAACAGACTTCTTCCCACGCAGTATGTCTGTATGCTTCCACCAGGGGCCGGTGTTTGAGGGAAGGGCCCTTTGCCTCCACAACTCCCAGGTATCTCATCCAAACTGGCATCACCAAGATACCCAGGCCCCTGAAGAGGTCTGACTGGCCAGGAGTGCAGGGGGAGACTGTCCTGCTCCTGGGGCTCTGCCTGCTTCTGCTGGTGAATAAAGCAGGACAAGTGAGATCTTAACCACTGTGCACGATTACCTCTCCAGTTCTGTGCACAGGGGTGCTCCGGTCCCCATTAGCAGCAGGCATTATAATAGTTGCTAAGATACAAAGTTGATGCAAGTACAGCCTCAGGCCTTCAGTGGTCAACATTTACCAGGGAGAAAATAGACAAGGAAACAAATGCCAGAGAGCATTAGGGAGCTTTGGTCCGATCGTGTCCAGGGTGCCCTGGCTGCACATAGGAGGGAGCTGACTGTTCTGCCTGGGGGACTGGAAAGCTTCATGAATGGTGTGATCCCTGAAAGTGGCTGGAAATATGCGGCTGTAAGTATACTGCTCCTGTCCTAACCAAGAGGTTGACGAGCTGGGGGGTGGAGGGTAATGGGTTTAGGAGAAGGGATAGGGTTGAGAAAGGCAGGTTATGAGCAAAGGCACAGAGACATACATCTCCTCAGGGACAAGACGTGGTCCCCTGTGACTGCAGCTCAGAGTGCAAGCACCGGATGAGGCTGCCACTGAAGAAAACAAATCATAGACAATCTCATGGGCTCTGCTAACTTTAGACTTCATCCTCTAGGCAGTGGGGATCCATTAAGAATTTTGAACCAGGGAGAAACCCTGGTAAGACCTTCATTTTCACTCTAGCAATAAGGTGGAAGATAGAGATGGATTAGAGGGGGAAATCCACTAAGAGACTGCTTGTTAGAATGGTCCAGCCAGTAAAGGAAGTGGCACTCCCCGACACAGCTGAGCAGGGGCCTTCTTCCCCTCAGAGTCTTGGGGAAGGATGCCACTCCCTCACTTCTCCCTTTCCTTCACATCACAGCATTGTGTACCCTCAGATCCAGTGTCACAGCCTGAGCTGGGCCTGGGAGGCTGCTCCCCACCCCACCTTCATGAAGCATCAGCAAGGATACAGCCTAGCTGTCTATACTTCCCCAAGAACTGGGGTGACATTGACAGGGAAGATTTACAAGGACAGCAACCTAGCAGGTGGCTCCACTCGGTCTCGCACTCCTCCCTCCTCAACACAAACAGCACTACAAGGACAGTAATTTAGGAGGTGGCTCCCCTCTGCCTTGCCCCCCTCCTCAACCCAAACAAAAACCACTCCCTTGGTTTCCCCGCTCTGCCGAGCACTGGCTCCCAAGGTTCACTCCCTAAACTCCCTCCCCCTGGCCAGCTTGCTTGCTGCATGTAAGATAAATTCTAGCCGAGATAAGCAGGCGACGAGAGGCAACAAAGGGCCAGGGAGTTTATCTGAATGCAATTCCCGGGTGATGTTCCACGGTCTGGCTAACACAGGCCAGGGAAGTCACACCAGGTCAGGGAGTGGAGGGTTATAAGGGGTTAGGATGGGGGGGAGTGGGCAAGCTATCCTAGGGGATGTGGAGAGGTATGATTGGCTAAAGGTGACATAATAGACAACTAGAAACTTTTTTTCCTTTCAAGAGGGAGGAGGCTGACATCTGGATCTTAGTTGGCACATCAGAAGGATGGAATTCAGGAAGAGCTGTCCCCTTTCCATATAAGGCATGGACCTTGGGGTCTGGTCTGTTTTCCTTTTATGGCAACTCTCTGTTCTGTTTGCATGTCCTTGTTTTTCCTTCCTCCAGCCTAACACTGCGCACATAGGAATGTTACAGATAAGGAAGCAGAAAGGTATAAATTGCTCCATTTTCCTTTGTTCAGGGCTCAGACTCTTTGGGAGATTGCTCTTCTCTGAGCCCGCTGGTGTGAAATAAAGCCTCAACACTCCAAGACCTCCAAGTGCCGCTTGTTTTTTTCCATCGGTGATCAAGTCCAGGCTTTTTTTTCAGTATTTTCTGTAACAACATCAGCGAGGAGAGGCCGATCACACCAAGACTCCAATATTCCCAGGGTTGAGGGAGGTCATGGTGAGTGACAGACTTGGGCTACAATCCCAGAGGTACCTCCAAATCCAACCAACCAGCTCTGACTTCCTTTTCTCATCTTCCTACATTAGTCATTGTTCCATTCTTTTCCATTTATTCATTCATTTGCTCAATAAATATTTATTGATTAGCTACTATATAACAGACACTGCCAAGTTCTAGGAGGACACAGTACAGAGAGGGACAGAGATATGTAAATACAAACTTTCCAAAAGAAAATATAACCATGTACAAAGTGTCCAAGTTAAGAAATGACCAGTACTACCTAGAGAAGCAAGTTGCAGAAGGCATTATGTGTCATGCTGAGGTGTTTCACCCTCTGCCTTAGCTATTCAAAGTATGGTCCTCAGAGAACAGTGACGTAATTTGTTTGTTCTTCTTAAATGTCTATATGATTATGAATTACCTAGAGGTCTTCTGATGTAATAGATCTGAGACTGGGCCTGGAATTCTGCATTTCTAAGCAGTTTCTCAGCAAAGCTCATCCAAAGATCACACTTTTAGTAGCAAGACTGCCTAGACAGTTGAGCATCTATAGGAAGAAGATACATTGAAGATTCATAAGGAAGCTCATATTTGCATTTCAGAAGAATAATACTGCTTCTCATCCTCACACAGGTGGGATCTGGCAGTCTGAGGAGCAGGTAGACCTGGAGTGGTCTGACACAGAAAGCTTCTTTGGAATCCTGCTCAGGCAGTCTCTTTCAGTGACTACCAAACTCAGTCAGACCAAGGAGGAGGTAAGTGGAGAAGCTGAAGAAATAAGGGAACTGGAAACGGATTCATCTCTGGGAGAGCTGGTTTTGGGACATAGGGCCTAAAGCAATCCTCTGCCTACCCATAAGGAATCAGAAAAAAGGAGAGAACACAGGAGGGGAGAGAGAAGATTGCAGATTCAGTTTAGGACTGATCTCGTGAGACCTAGGGCTTCAGGTCAGTGAGAGGGAATCTACCAAGGCCACATCTGGAGTCTCTTAAATCCCCGTTCCTGGTCCTCGGTAGCCCAACTGAGTGAGTGATTTCAGGCCTACAGTTGACAGGCGTTGGGAGAAAAAAGAACATACCAGAAGTTCAAGTATTGCAATGGGGCCAGGGGTTCCCTAGGTGGAAGGTGGGTGCTGGGACTCACTAGGACCTGCCTCTGCTGGTGTTCACTTATTTATT